CTGCTGGCAGGGGGAGGATGTGCAGCAGGATGGCTGACAGTCAGACTGCTGGCAGCAGGAAGGCTCACAGGAGCTGGTGCAGACCAATTGGCAGGGGCTGGACCCACAGCTCACAGGGGTGCAGACAGGCTTGCAGCAGACAGGCACACAGCAGGCCTGCTGGCAGGGGGAGGATGTGCAGCTGGATGACTGGCAGCTAGACTGCTGGCAGCAGGAAGGCTCACAGGAGCTGGTGCAGGTGGATTGGCAGGGGCTGGACCCACAGCTCATGGGAGTGCAGATGAAAGTCAGACAGGAGGCTGGGGTGCAGCTGGTGGGAACACAGCAGGAGGACTGGGAGCAGGAGGGGACACAGCAGAAAGACTGGGAGCAGGAAGGGACACAGCAGAAAGACTGGGAGCAGGAGGGGACACAGCAGGAGGACTGGGAGCAGCTGGGGGCACAGCAGGAAGGTTCACAGCAGCTCTCAGGGCAGTCATCCACCTCCCAGGAGGAGCCGGTACAAGACTCACAGGAACCAGGCAGGCAGACACGGCTGCCATAGCTCAGGTCACTGGAGCAGATGGACACGGTGGAGGCAGACATGGTGGGAGAGGGTGGGAAGGTGAGATGGAGAAGTGTGTGTGTGAGTGAGTGAGTGTGTGAATGTGTGAGGAGCTCTGGGCCTCTGAGGCTTTTATATCCCTCTGTGTTGTGTGTTGTCCCAACCTGAGGGCCCCAGGAAGCTTCTTTCCTTGTTTGGAGCAGTCTCTGAGGACACCTGTGATGGATTCGCTGTGTGTAAAGCTCCCAGAAGGTTATCGCTGTGTGGGCCATGGAGTGGAGGCTGTCCTAGCAGGAGTTGCCACCTGGGAACCTGCCTGCTGTAGGGACAGTGGGGGCTGGCAACTCCTGACAATCCCATCTGGTCTTCTAAGTATGGCTTCTGACTATTATTTCTCCCTAACTTCTCAGCACTCAGTTGAATCAGAAGTCTATTTTATTCTTCTGTTTTTCTAAGCTCTTGATTTTGGGATAAAAATTTCCTCTGAATTGAGAGAACCACAAACACCTTGGGAGCTTATTTTTATTTTCCTAGCAAACACTTACATAATAGTTGTTGCTATGTGTCAGGAACTATTCTGAGCAAGACTATGAATATCCTCCCAACAACTCTTTGAGGTAGGTATTTTACAAATGGGAACACTAAGGCACAATTAAACACTTGTCCAAAGGCATATGCTAACAAGTACATGAGTGTAGATTGAAACCTCAGCGGGCTGTGTTTCTCACCATGAAACTCTGCTACCCTAAGGCTGAGAGGCACAGAAATGCAGGCCTAAAAACAAAACAAAATCCAGATTCTGTTAAAGCACTGAGAGAGAGTGGGGCTCAAGTACAATTTAGGACTAGTAGTGTGAGGCTTTTGAGGACATAGTCAGTGGATGCTTGGAGAGCTGGAGCTAGAGTCTGAGAAAGGAACTTGAATTAGTGTCAAGTTAGGTTAACCTGGACTTATGGACCCATGTGTGTCAGAGAGTGAAACTGTGCTCCATACAACTGATTTTTCAGAAGTAGATTGCCAGACCTTTTCTCTAAGGTACCTCTGAGTAGAGTCAAGCTTCCAACCTTTTTGCTAGTAGAGAGCATGTTTATCACTTATCACACCCAAGGACTCCAAACAAGGAGCCACCTCTGACTAAGCAAGAGAATTCTGATTTAGTCACAGGAAAAACTTACTATGAAGGCAAGTGATTGTCCTAGGAGGCTGAAAGATTCCTCTTGGGGAGTGAATTGCTTTTAAACTTAGAAAAAACACATCCTCTTGGTTGGGAAATGTGGGGAGTAGGGGGGCAGTTTGAGCCAGAAAATGCTGATTTCCATGGTGTAAATGTTCCCACCATGGCTGCTTCCAAGCTGTTAGTGGTTTGATACTGTGGCTGTTGTTGTTAAGTGCTATTGAGTCAATTCTGATTCATAGCGATCCTGTATAGGGTTTCCCAGGAGCAGCTGGTGAGTTTGAACTGCTGCCCTTGAGGTTCACAGTCCAGTGCTGGTCCTACAGCACCACACCAGGAGTCCTCAGTGGTTTAATAATCACTCGCAAAAGCCCTGAATATTTGGCAAATGACTGCAAGTTCTTTAAGCTGGCCTTTCATGGAGGAGAAGAAGGGGGACTGGGAAAGGGTTTTCAGGAGATGGGGTCTCAGCACCTCTGAGGTGTCTGAGCCAAATTGAGGTGTGGCTAATGCGAGTTGCTGTAGTGCAACTGGCTCATGACCTTCTTAACTTGTGTGTGCTTTTGCTTCCTGCTTGATGCCCTCCTTCCACACACACCCACCTCCTGGCACTTTACTAGGAAGTCTAAGAAGACGTGCTGTGGGAGACTGGGCCAGGAGCCGAGTTTTGTGCTGGGGCAGGCCAGAATTGTCTCCAGTTCATGGGTGCAGGATTGTGGTGGGAAGGATCTGAGAGAAAAAGGATGCCAAGGAAACTGCTGGAATGGTAGCAGGGCACTGTCTAGGCGACCTATGACTTGCAAAGGTCCAGCTTGTGACTTCATTTGCATAATAAGGGTGATCACAGAAGGATTTGGGAACATCAGGATTAAACACGGGACAAACCTAAAGAAGAAAATAAATCCTTTCATTGGATTCTGTATAAGTTAAGGGAAAACTACATTTTCATCTGTTTCACATACAGGGTTGGTTTGAAAATATCCTGATGTGGGACTGTAGGATAAGCACTGGACTGCTAACTGTAAGGTCAGTGGTTCAAACCCACCAGCTGCTCCTGAGAAACCCTGTACAGGGTCACCGAGTCAGAAGTGACTGGAAGGCATTTAACAACAACAAAATACATTGGAAAGCATATGATCATACAACCAATAATGCTACTTAGTTTTAGAAAAGTTGAGGGTCAGCAAAAAAGAGGAAGGTCCCCACCAGACGGATTGACACAGTGGCTGCAACCATGGGTTCAAACAGCAATGACTGTGAGGATGGCGCGGGACCAGGCAGTGTTTCATTCTGTTGTGCATAGGGTTGCTATGAGTTAGAGCCAACTCGATGGCACCTAACCACACAGCTTAAGAAAATCACACATGATTACTTAATAGATGTTATATCAATTAATTTGCTGTGCTGGGGTTTTGCTTATTTTAAGGACTATGTTTTTCTACTCAACCTGCTAATTTATAGCAGAATCACATTGGGATGGGTGTGAATCACCAGGATGTTGTGAGCGTTGCTTTCTTGGTCTGTCACAGCCAGAGTTGTGATGAGAAGTCTGATGCCCGTCTGATTCTTATTTGTTTGTTTTAATCATTGGACACTTTTTGGAACTACTCATTATCCTTGATGTGCTGCAGTTTTAACAGAATGTACCTGGGTTTTTTCCTCCATCATTTTTCTTGGCATCAATTGGGTTTTTCAGTTGGAAGTCTCATGTCTTCAGATTTGGGGGATGTTATTCTAAAAGAATTTATTTGTTCTTCTTTCTTCATCTTCTCTGTCCCTCCTTTTGTGAATCCCCCTGGGTGACCATGATTATTTTCTATTATATTTTCAGTCTCTTTGGCTTTTTCTTTTACATATGGGAAATTTCTCAACCTCACTTTCAAGTTTTCTATTTCATTTTAAAGTAAGCCTATTTTACTTCCAAGATATTTAATATCTATGACCCTTTTTTGGTACATCTTCTAATTGCTCTTTTAGAATATCTTGCCCTGGTTTATATTTGTAGTATATTCCTGAATGTCTCTGAGTATGTTTAGATTTTTTTTTTTTAAGTTCTTTTCGGTTCCTTAGATTTTGTTTTCCCTAGGGTATATGTTTACACTTGTTTGATCTTTCATTTTCATGCTATCAGCTTTCCATGATGAGATTGTTGCCTGATTCCTCTTCAGTTAGGGACACTCTCCTCATAATGGGAAGTTGACAAGATTTTGTGATCCAGGTGGGCTAGGAGAGATGAGAGTCCACATGCCAGAACGAGGACACTGTGTGTGTGGGGTGCCAATAGCCTCCCTATCTCAGAGCCTAAGCCCTCCCCAAGTGAGGGGTTAACTTTTCCTAGAGATAATCACTGGTGGTACTCTGGGGTGAATGTGGGGCTCCTGGGCAGTCTACCATGGGAGCGCTGGCCAGGTATTCCATGTCCAGAGCATCCGGTACCTCCTCCATTGCAGATGGCTCCGCCTGCTGCCTTCCACTGGGTCTGCCCACTGGGAGCAGAGCTGATGTGGAAGACCATTGCCATAGGGCGCATGAGTGAGATGATGTGTCCTGGTTCGGTCCTACTGTCCCTCGGAAGAATTGGTAGGGTATGGTGTTGTAGAATAAGCACTGGATGACAATTCAGTTAGAAAAGCTGGGTCAGTGGTTCTAGTTCATCAGCCACTCCTTGGAAACCCTATATAGGGTAGCTGTGAGTCGGAACCAACTCGATGGCACTAAACAACAAAAAACAACAACAACAGGCACAATATGTGCACAAAAGGATAGCGGTTTAAGCAAGCAAAAGATTATTTATCAAGCATAGAACTTTTCACAAAGGAGATAACTGACTTCTACCTTGAGAGTGAGGAGCGTCCCGACTGATGACACAGACTAAGATTTTATGCACTAGTTGGAAGGGGTTTGACCTCTGGTGCCATTGTCAGACTTTTTGATGGTTGTCCTGGCTAGTTACTCAGAGTAGGCTTTCATGTTAGATTAGTTGGAGGGGGGTTTAGCTTCCTGTGCCTTTGTCATGTTTCTGGATGTTTGTGCCCAGTGCCTTCATCAGTGTTTTTGGATGGTTGCGCTGTTCAACCCCTGGATGACATCATTTTTTGATATTTCCTTCCTTGAGTATTAATAACCCCTTTCTAGTAATTCAGTCTGTTATAATTGTATTCATGACCTAACCAGCACACTGACTGATTACAATGCTTCTAAGAGGATTGCAGTTTGACCTCTCCTTCCTAACCTAACTGTTTAACACCAGGACCACATTGATTCCGTGTATACAACCCTCCTTTTGTAGTCAACACATTCTCTGCTTCCCATTTATTTTAGTTCTCTAGTGCTGCTGGGACGGAAATACCACAAGTGGGTGGCTTTAACAACAGAAATTATTTGCTCACACCTCAGATGGCTAGAAATCTGAATCCAGAGCACTGGCTTCAGGGGAAGGCTTTTTCTCTTTGTTGAATCTGAAGAAATGTCCTTGTCTCTTCAACTTCTGCTCCCTAGTTCCTTGAAGATCTCTTGTGTCTCTTCCCACATCTCTGCTACTTCCACTTGCTTGTTGAATCTCTTTTAAATCTCAAAAGAGATAGACTCAAGTTGAACCTGGGGGCTCAAGACCATAGTCTTAGGGGAACAATTGGCATAATATAGTCCACAATGACAATGTTCTACATCCTGCTTTGTTGAGTAGCATCTGAAATATTAAAAGCTCTTGAGGGACTGTCTAAGGTGCAGCTATTGGTCTTCTCATGTGCAGAAGACAGAAGAGTGATAATAATTGAAGATTTAGGTGCCATTGAGTAGGTACCAACTCATAGCAACCCTAAGCACAAAAGAACGAAACACTGCCCAGTCCTGGGCCAACCTCACAAT